GGGAATCTGGACAGGGTGGAGCATGCCTATAATCCCAGCAACTCAAAGGGCTGAGGCAGGAGGATCACGAATTCAAATCCAGCTTCAGCAACTTAGCAAGGTCCTAAGCAACTCAGGAGACCCCGTCTCTTAAAACAATATGAAAAAGATCTGGGGATGTGGCTCAGTGGTTAAGTGCCCCTGAGTTCACTCTCCAGTAAAAAAAAAAAAAAGAATACAAGAATGTTAGTGAATGACTTCTAGATTAGTGCTAGTTGGCTTTGCATCAGAATCCTAAGAAAGGGTGTTTCATGAGCCCCAACCCTAGGGGCTGAAAGTTCTACAGTGTCCCAGACCAGTGGGTTTTACTCGATGCTGGGAGGTCCAGAGGCAACTAGGGGACRGCTTTTATGACTGCTCTTAAAGCCTTGCTGGAATGACCACGCCCATTTCAACAGAGCTCCCGAAAGGGGCAYTTTGGGGTTGCAGTAGGGTATCTGCAAGTCCTTTTCCAGAAGCAGGTGACATATAAAAGGAGAGGGACCACATCCATCTTGTTGACTATTGCATCCCCACCACAAGCACAGAGCAGACAAGACACAATTGTGGAACAATTTTGAATGACCATTTCTTAAATTCTCTGAACATGATTTCTTGAAGAAAAAAAAAAAAGAGGGTATAGAGGCAGAATTGGAAAGTGGAAAATCAAATTTAATACCAATTCTACCATTTTGTTGCCGGCAGGAGAAATATATTCCTTATCCTGGTCTAGGAGGCCACGTTGCCTGTCCCCACCTGCTCTTACACATCCTGTGGTCTTCCTGCCATTCCCACCCTGAGCTTCCAAAGTCTTTCTCTCTGCCCTTTACCTCTTTAACCCCATGATTTCTTCATCTCTTTTTTCAATCATCAGTCCTCARGGAAGCTGTCCTAACCCTCTGCCAAGGCCCAATCCCCATTACACTTACAAGATTACACACCTTCCTCGGTAGCACTCAACAGTGGCCTTACATTTATTTCTCTGGTCATTTTAATATTGCCTGTCATCCTTATTTAACAGTAAGTTCCCATGAGGGCAAAGACTGGGGGAATCATCCATAGTATCTGGTATATAATAGTTTCTCAGGAAGCATTTGATGAATGAGTGAATGGATAGAATGAACTAGGAGTGGAGGGTTTTATAACCTGGGGTCTATGGATGAGCTTCCAAATTCAAAAGCCCCTGAAATCACCTGCAGTGGTGTAAGATTTCTAAGTGGAGGCCATAGCTTTTGACAGATTAGGAATCCGAGTTTTACATGAATACGCTAGTTATGCACAAGAAGGAGGAGAAAAAGAAAAAAGGATGGGAACGAAAAATATGAAAGGATAAAGGGAGAACTTTATAAAAGGGGAGTAGAACTGAGAGGAGACATAAGAGAAGGTGATGGAGTGGATCAGCTATCCCTGAACAAATTCTCTGCACTTAGCCTGACTCTGTGTGCGACCCAGTATTAAGCACCATCAGGGATCTGAGGAGTAGTTGTCCCTGATTTCACTGTCACATCTAAAAAGAGAATATTCTAGCTAATTACAGTTTAGGGTAAGTTGAATGAAGGATTCCCAAAGAGGTGATACAGAGCCATTTTCTTGTATAGTGGAAGAGAGATTACAGGTAGCAATAGAAGGAAGGATGATTATAGAGGGCTTCCTGGAGGAGGGTCACATGTCCATCTGCCCCCAACACTTGAGCAGGATATCAAGGAGGAGGGGAGAGAAGGAGGTAAGCTTCAGATGAGGGAAGAGTATAAATAATGCCACTGATCCAGGAGAACAAGGTGTGTGTGACGGTGGACTCAATGGCTTTGTGGAATATCTGAGCTGGGAGTTGCCCTCTTGGGCCAATCATGGATAAGTGATAACTACAAGGAGCCAGTGAGATGATCCTAGAGGCTAGAACAGACTTCAGAAGGAGCAACTTAGGCCCAAAGAAGGCTGAGGATGGGTAATCACACAGCCCCTGCCCCCCGCAAGACTTCTGGCAAATATAAACTCGTCCTGTCTGTACATGCTCCTCCCTCTTCACCTCCAGCCCTCCTGAAGTGGGTCAGCTCTCGCCCAGTAGAGGCTGTGCTCATGTGGCCTGGTGAGCACCCATGTCTAGGTTCTGTTCTGCTGTTGTTAATCTAACATTCCTGGGCTTATGAACTCACAAAATACGCAAATGGTGTGAGTTTGAAATCCATGTGTGTCACTGATTCCCCTTTGCCCAGGTCGGAAATTACAGAAAAGATTTCCATTTAGCAAAGAAAGCTTTTGCAAGGTGACAAGACCTCAGGACATTTGCTGGTGTGGGGACACTTGTGCTTTCTACTGCTCTTACTGAATATTCAGCTGGCCCTGCAGATTTCAGAGCCTCTGTGTCTCCACTTGATAAAAGAGCTCTATCTCAGTGGTCTTTCCTGGAATTAGGTGTCCCAAGCAGTTTGGCACATGGTGCTATGGCCCTAGTACAGATGGTCACATAGACCTGGGACAGAGGGGACAGCAAGGTCCAGGAGAAGGACAGAGTATGGCTCACCTTTTTGCCTCCAGAGACACTTCAATGAGCACTTCTTGGGAAAGCTGACTGACTGCGTTTAGCAATGACGCCCATCACCCCCAGAGAGGGCTGTGCATGACCTTCAAGAGCACTCACTGTGGGGGCAGCACTAGAGGTCAGTAAGGGATTTGGGTAGGTTTAAGACAGACTCAGAGCCAGGCACAGTGACAAACACTGATAATCCTGCTACTCAAGAGGCTGAGGCAGGAGGATCGAAAGTTCGAGGCCAGCCTGGGCAACATAATAAGAAAAGGGCTGAGGATGTAGCTCAGTGGTAGAACACCCTGGGTTCAATCCCCAGTACTGAGAGAGAGAGAGAGAGAGAGAGAGAGAGAGAGAGAGAGAGAGAGAAACAGGGACTCAGAAGCCTGACCTGAGGGATCAGGTTAGGGATGAAATCAGCCCAGGGGTCAGTACTATGGTTGAGTCCATCTTTCGTTCTTATCTTATTGACTGAGATTGGAGTATCTGATTGTTGGTCCAGAATATTTCAGGGATTTCAGGCCCAGTTGATCCCAGAGAAGTTTAACCTCGAGTGTCCCCTTTTGCTCCCACATTTCCCAAATGGAGATTACCTTCACTTAGCTGCTTTTTTTCTGATCTCTCCAGCTGCCCTGCTGTGCCCAGAGCTTGAGAACTTTCTGGAATCTCCTGCTTCTCCCTGGCAAATCTGTTTTTTTTAAGTTTTTTTTCCCCCAGATCTAAGGTGCTCAAAGTGAATCTGAGCATCAAAGTCATGACCTGGGGATAAAAAACAATGAATTTATATTATTCTTCCTAAATAAAAACTATATTTGATAACTGAGGCCTTCCAGGCCCTTCTGAGTAGCCTGGAGAGGTCACAGGTGGTGGGGACACAGTTTCAGTAGTAATTACAAAACTCTTTTGGTAGAATCCTCTACTGCTCATCAGATTTCATAGCTGTGCTGAGTCTATCTCTGAACTGAAATCGGACAAGTATTTTGATCCCAAACCCTGAAGGCAGATTGTTTCCATGTCAGAGCTCCCTGTGAAGTGGCACGCCCTCTCTCCACAGAAAAGCTCTCTTCACCGTGGCTGATTTTAGGACTGTCAGCAAAAGAGTCTCTGCAAAAGAGTCCAATATAGATAAACTTCCTATTTTCGTGTTGCCCTGTTTTACTTGGCCACTGGCAGGGAAGATACCAGCACTGGACACCCCCTTACTAGTTTTGCACAACATAGCGGTATAGTACTTTGTAGAAATGTAGAAATGTGCAAACAAGGCCTCTGGCCTTGAGCTGGGCTTCACAGAGATGTCTACATTTTTTTTTAAATAAGTTTTTTTTTTTTTTTTTTTTTTTTTTTAGAGAGAGAGAGAGAATTTTTTTTTTAATATTTATTTTTTAGTTTTTGGCGGACACAACATCTTTGTTTGTATGTGGTGCTAAGGCTAAGGATTGAACCCGGGCCGCACGCATGCCAGGCGAGCGCACTACCGCTTGAGCCACATCCCCAGCCCGAGATGTCTACATTTTTAAGATAAGTTATCAATTGGCCTCCATGGTAATAGCTGGCAGGCGGAGGAAAGAAAGGGGAGAAGAAGCTCTCCCCTTCTCAGATATTGTCCTTGAAGAGTTAACTTGCCCAGAACAGTGAAAGAAAAAGCTGCTTTTATGTGAACTTCTGCAGACTGGGAACTTCTGAGCCCCTCCCCTTACATGCTGGGTATAAAATTTGAAACTCCCTGAACTCGGAGTTCAGGGGATTAATTGATTACAGCAAACGCTGTGCCCTCTGAACCTGGCTGCAGCCAAATAAAACTGTTTCCTGCTATCTTTGGGGCCTTGCCTCGTGTGTCCCTACAACACCTGGAAGCTTACCGGGAAGGAATTTGAGATCAGGGTCACATACTACAGTRGGGAGGAGCATCAGGATGGATTGGGAGAGACTGAGAATATCTGTCTGGGAGAAGACTGTCAGGTGTCTGTCATGTAGTCTCCTGAGGCCTAGGAGGAGACTATAGTAGCCCCACTTGTCTTTGCCACCTGGGGAATATCTTCTGCAGCTTCTCTCTTCAAGATGAGGCCTGAGCACAGTGGCATCTGCTCCCATCAGCATGGAAGCTGACAAGGACAAAACTTTAGCTCTGTCCCCTTTTCCCAACCCCACTCACAGATCCTGCATTTACAGAAGAGTCCCAGGGAATTCAAACGCACATTAACATTTCAGACACAGCAGTTGTGGGCCCTCCTGCCAGTTGTCATTAATGAGGGTCTTGCTGGAGGAGAGAAAGCTCTATTGGCGTGGCTTCTATTAGTGAATATCCATGGTGCCCTGTGATAAGTCAGCAGGGACAGGACAAGCTCCACCGGCCCCTGGAGAACCTTCCCTTCACTCTAGTATTTGGGAGGGTTACCAGGAAGGCTACTGTGTGCCGAGCTGTGTTTCAATTTTACCACCATGTCACTTCTGTCCCCAGGCAATCTACAAGATGGTCTCCTCTGTAATGAAAATGCCTGAAGATGAGTCAACTCCTGAGAAAAGGACAGAAAAGATCTTCCGCCAGATGGACACCAACAGAGATGGTAGGAGGCTGGGCTGCGTGGCTTTGCTCTGGTCAGGGCTGCGGGTGGAGTCCAGGTGGGGAAATGTGGCTCAAGGACCTGGCCCAATGCCTTTCATAAGAGTAGCTCATCCCAAAAGTCCCTGGAGGAGGACCAGGGTGGCCACCAGAGAGCTGGTCCCACTTTGAGGGGAAATGCTTTATTTCTAGGCCCTTCTGCTCTTTTTCTATGTCATGCTACATGCCCCCGCCCCCGCCGCCCCCCAACAAGATCAGATGGGTCTTGTAGAACAGCAATAGAAGGACCCAACAAATCACTGTTAGCAAGACCAGTGCTCAGGACAGGCCTTGGCCTCCATAGATTGGATTCCTCCAGGCCAGGGTGTCAGAATGCAGAGAGGGATTGTTATCACACCCAGACCCCAGCAGCTTTCACCCAAGTCTGGCTTTATTGGGGTCTCCTGTACATGCTCTAAGAGACAAGTGGACTCTCTCAGGAGTTGGGGTGGGGTGGAGGCCTTAGGGTGACCAGCAGGTTCCCACCTGAGGTTGTCACCTAAAATTGAAACCCAAGTGGATGCAAAACAAAGGGACATGAAAAGGGAAGATTGTATTTCAAACTCAAGAACAGACAAGATATATTAGGTACCAAGTTGCCAAACAGAGTATGAGAGGCCCCAGTAAATAAATTTGGATCAGTAAGAAGTGACTTTTTCAGTATAAGCATGCCTACATTCAATATTTGGGACATATTGATCCTAAGAAACTGCTTGCTGTTAACCTGAAATTCCAAGTTATCTGGACATCCTTCTTTTATTTGTCAAAGTTGGCAGTGCTATTTAGATGCAATACCCAAGTTTCAAGTGCTAACTGAGCTCAGGGCCTGGTCTATCATAAGCTGTGTGGCACTTGCTATTATTACCAGCTCACTTGTTCTGCTAGGAGTGCTCAGCAATTCTTGTCAGCAATGTGAAAATGCACTTGTACATCCTGTGTGTCGCTGATGTGTACAACAGAAGGCTTTGTGGTGGGGCGGGCCTCTTCATAAGCTCACGCCTGGGGCACCGGCAGCCTGAGAAACTGGGTTTGTGTGGGGCAGGCCAATCTGTTTGCTTTGTTTCCTCCACAAAGTTGCCAATGCATCCTCTTACATCCTATTCCCCCATGTGCCTTGATTTACAGTAAATAGTTTGATATGCAAAGATGGAACAGACATGGGATTGTTTTAATAGCTAATGAATTTGCTAGGGTTAAGCTGCAGGTTTTGCTGGTACTCCTGGGAACTCAGTGGCCTTGAGATGCAGTCTTCTAGATGCAGTATTCTCTTTAGAGAAAGGCTAAAAGATGGGAGAAGGACAAAATACCCCAGGATCAGGCCCTCCCCACATGTTGGTGACAGGCAGTGAATTAGTGTCTCCCCGTTGAGTTGCTACCATGAGATCCAAGGGCCCTGATTGTTCCACATTCCTACAACACAGCTTACAGAAGGTGCTGTGCCCGCTCCAGGGAAAGATTTAAATTTAAAAAAGAAAAAAGTGGGGATGGAGAGCAGTGGAGGGAAAGAGGAAGAAGGAGGGGCCTATCAGATAGTGGTCAGAAGAATCTCAGGAGACCCAGGAGACTCAGGGCTTTACCTTAGATCCCCAGGACCGGGGCAACCTGCCCACTTCCCACCTGGAACAGAGCAGGTGCAGAGTTCTGGTGGAAGCTCTTTGTATCTCACCCAGGCCTTTGACTTAGGGAAAATTTGGGTCCACAGACAAGTTAGCCCTTTAGTCAGTCTTGAAGTGCAGAGTCAATGCCAAAAAAGCTGGATGCTCATGTTGAATCTAGTGTTCCCCAGCTAACTTGTGGTCCCCAGGGCCTACCTTTGAGAGATTCCCAAGAGTTCAAGTGACTGCTCCTGTTTCCTTTCCCTGATATCTTTGGAAGCCAGAGAAAGTCATTGCCATTTTAACTAGTGCTTGGACAGGGACACAGCTACTAAAGCTGGCTGCACACAAAGTTTAGAGGGGAACTAACTGCTTATGTATTAACAGTCAGTCAATCCAATCAATGAGTCCCCACCTTTCTCCATCAGGGAGAAACAGCAGGTTTGCAAGATAATAACTAGGTTCTGGTGAGGAATGGGGGTGGCTGAGAGGAAGACATGTTTGTTGATTTGTGTTGGGAGGAACAGGACTCCCGTATGTAGTGCCCTTTGCTGCCTGTGTTTGGAACAAGTTGAGAAATTTAAAGAAGAGCAATAACTGAAGCCAAAGGGTAAGAACTCCAATGGAGGAAGTATATTAGGGTGAGACCAAGGGTATATCAGCAAAACCTACAGGCTGAATGGAACCAGACCCACCCAGTGCCTGTCCTTGGAAGAACAAACAGAATAAGTCTCTAGGGGAACTCTGTCCAAGAAAAGGAGGGCAAGGCCAAGCAGAAATGTCCAGTAGTTTCCCCTGCCCCAGCCCCAGATTTACAAGTCAAATGAGTCACTTCACTCCCAGGGGCACAGTAGGCTAAGAAGAAAGGATATGCAGAAATGCCAGCGATATGGGAAAGCATTGCCCCCAGCCCCACACCCTCTTCCTTGCAGCAAAAGAGGGGCCCTCCTGGAAGAGAATTCAGGACACACACTAGCTTCTGCAGGAAGAAAAGGGATACTGGAGGAAAAGGGGACCCCAGATTCCCTCCTCTAGCTCATAAGAGATCACCTTCTGCCTGGAACACACCACTTTATTCATTTGTGATTGGAAAGAACCAATCATGTCCAGGGCCTCTCTACACGCCAGGGGACCTATGTATGCCCAGTGGTCTGAAGGACCCAGAAGGCTCCCAGTAACCTTGTGGGGACAGCCTTGGTGCTGCGAGAGCCCAGCTTCTTCCCATAAAGGTGTGAGGCATTCATTCTACAAATACTAAGTGGGCCTTTCAAGGTAATAGAGATGGAAGAGCCAGGGCAGGGACCGGATCAGGAGATCCGCTACCCTCTCCCCAGCCCTAGGCCAAGGTGGGCAGGAGGTGGTTTATCAAGAACTGCTGTGCTAGGGCTGGCAATGCCACTGTGAACCAGGCAGCAGAGTCCCCGCCTTGTAGGTCTCACATTGAAAAGACAGTGTCCTGGGCTCTACCCTGGGCCACGGGCAGGTGAGCAATTGCTGCCACCAACATGCTGTGGGGAAGTGTGAACTCAGGCGCCTGCCACCAGCTGCCACTCAGTTCGTCCCTTCTCTTACTTCCTAGGAAAGCTCTCCCTGGAAGAGTTCATCCGAGGGGCCAAAAGCGACCCGTCCATCGTGCGCCTCCTGCAGTGCGACCCGAGCAGCGCCGGCCAGTTCTGAGCCCAGCACCCCACGATTTGTAGAGCTGCTTGCGTTCCCTTTTTGATTCTTCTTTTTAAGTTTTTTTTTTTTTTGCCAAAAAATTATCAATGGTGATGCTGTCCCCTGTGCAGTCAGATGCACCTTCCTCCGTGATGCCTTCGCCTTCTGCTTCATTCATCGTGGACGCTTCGTGGGAATGCCCAGAGCCCCAGTGTGCGTGTGGATAGCATGAGCAGACTTCGTGGTGTTCCTTGTTTAATGACTTTCTAATCTTTTTTATTATTTTTTTTCTTCTGATTCTAATGTTTCTGTTTAAAACCCAAGACTGGGGCGGGGGGGCAAGAGAAGGGGATCTGATTAAGTCCAGTGATTCCACTACAAGCTTCCAGGGGCTGGGTTTGAAAGACAGAGCTCTCCACCTGGGTCTGTTGTCACACGTGCCCTTGGGGCAATGGATGGCACCAGACGCTGGATTCCCCAAGAACAAGTTACCCTCTGGGGTGAGGCTACTAAAGGGAGCTGGGACATCCTCTAGGAGGCCCACTCTGCCCTCCGCCCCAGCAGGCTGTAGTTTCTAAGCTGTGAACATTTCAAGGTCAATTCATAGAGAAGAAAAAAGATGGCTCAGCTATTTTTTTCACAGGTTTACACTGGTTGAGCTAATGTGAGTTTCTTTGGAAATCAAACACAGATGGCAACAGTCCAAAACCAGACCCATCTTGTTGCCTATTGTGATTTTAAAAAAGAAAGAAAAAGAAAAAAAAAGACTGCTGTATATAAAATACTGGGATTGCAAACCAAATTAAGTGTTTTGCCTTGTAAATGCATGTTTAGTGAGCACTAATACAATCTTATTACAGAAGACTGTTTTTAGTAGCTTATTGTGAGTAAGCCAACTATGATGAATGTCTACGTTGTCTTGTTTCAAAGTCAGATCTGTCTTTGCACAAATGTACCAATCAACAAGTATATTTTGTATATTCCATAAAAGTCCAAGGTAACCATGACGAGGGCCCAACTTTGATTCAGAATGCTTTTCCAGAGTCACAGTGACTGGAGAACAGAAGCAGGGCAGGTTCGAGAGGGTCATGTCCTGGGGACACCAGGAGGTTAATACTTTTGAGAGGGGCCATGCTAGTGGTTTGCTGGCTGAGCTCAGCAGCTCATGGGCAGCATGAGATTGGAGGTACTGCTCTTTTCTGAGCAGATGACTGTTTGGAGACTTGGGAACAGTAGCCTAGGTTCTTGGGACTTCCCAATGGTTTAGCCACTATCCTCCTTAGGGAGCCATTAGGAATGCTCACTTTTTTTTTTTTTTTTTTTTTTTTGCCCGTTCAAAGAGTCTGAGGGGGACAGTCATTTAATTCATTGTAAGAAGGCCCATGCAAGTGTGGCCATAGTGTCCAAGGCCCTGCTAACAGTATTTTCCATCACTGTATTATTTGAATGCAGATTTCTCTTTCCAGAAGTGACAACATACATTTGAGTTGCTCTTTGGGCGTCACCTCATGCACACTAATTTTAATGGAAGATTAAGAGGGAAAATCTCCCGTCACTGGAAAGTCACACTAGCAGCAGTTGGGTGGCATGGGATGGAGGAGGGGCTGAACACTCCAGGATACAGAGGGGACCTGTCCCAAATGACGGCAGAGAGGTCCCCAGGGAATCTGTCTGCTGCCAAACCACTTCCTGTAAAAGAGGAACCACAGAAAAACAAACATAACTTGGAGGAAAATGCTACTGGGCGCCTTCTAACCTCCAGGTTCCTGTGTCTGAGTTGAATCTATTCTAATTAGTATCAAAAATCCCAATTTGTGGGGTAGACACAAAAACCACCTTTAGAGGGTAAAATTGTGAGACCTGGAATCAGTAGCCTTAATCTTCCTCTGAGGATCCATTCTTCATATTCTATGCCAAGACTTGCCAAATTCCTCCATGGGCCAAGTGGTAACATCTGTTTCTGTAAAATAGGGAATTAACCTAATTTCTGGAGTGCAGAGGGGAAAGAGGGTCCAGCACGCTCCACCTGGAGTGTTTGGGAGTTGCATCCCACTTTTTCCTGCTGTAGATTGAAGACAGGATTCCTCCTTTCAGTTCCCTTTTGATAAGTGGAGTCAGTTAAGGTTGGAGCAACCTGCCTGGGCTCTGCCCTAGGTCATGACATGTGGAACCAGACTCATTCTGTTCCCTAGAATGAAGCTGGGGTGAGGAACAGAGAAGGCCTCCAGCTGTTCAGGAAGAAAGAGAGCCAGACACATGACTGATGGACACTACTGGCCTCAGAAGGTACTGAGATGGCCCGGGTGCTGCCCAGCCACTGACCCACACTGACTCTTCTCCAGGCTGTTTCTCTCCTTCTCCTCCTCCAGGAAGGCCTTGGCAGGTGGAATCCAACGCACTCAAGTTCAGCCAAGGGACTGCACAGCCCCCAGAGGGCTGAATGCCTGAAGGCCTCTCTCACTTCTGTACTGGGTTGTTCATTGTCTTTGCTGTTTTCAGGACTCTGGAAATGGAGTCTGTTCTGTCCCAAGTAAAACCAGACTGTGGTGTGCAAGGGATCGGAATAAAATGACTTATGACCTGAAGGATGCTACGGAATGTTTGACTGTTCATACGTTGCTTAGGTTAGAGAAGGGGTGCTGCTGTGGGTGCTGTCCCATCCCAGTGATGTGTTCAGGGAGACTGTCCAGGAAGATTATATATATAAAATCATGAATCATCAATCATTTGGAGCAGCCCCTTTATCACTTGACTTTGTGTAACTCTTGCCTGGCATTAAAGCATGTTAATTATTTAATATGATTGCTTGGAACATGGAACATGAGGTTTTCCTGACTACCCTGCTGCCCTAGCCTGAATTTATACTTAGAGAGGTTCCAGGTTTGAATTTTGGTCTTCTCCTGTTGTTTCTGTCCCAGAGAGACAAAGTCCTATCTAAAAGCTTCCTCGGTCTTGGGGCTTTCTTTCTATGATAGCCTTTACTTTCTTCCCATTTCCTTCCCTTTCTCAGGCTAGAGTCCAAACATTAGGCACAATAGAAGGAGAATCTAGCCAGATGCAGTGGCGCACACTTGTAATCCCAGCAACTTGGGAGACTGAGGCAGGAGGATTACAAGTCTGAGGCCAGCATCAGAACTGAAGGAGGCCCTAAGCAACTTAGTGAAAAACTCTCTCAAAATAAAAAAAAAATAAAAATAAAAAGATCTGGGGAGATATGGCTCAATGGTAAATCATCCCTGGGTTCAATCCCCACTACCCCTGCCTACCCCAAAAATTAATAAATAAATAGATAGATAGAAAGAAAGAGAATCTCAGGCAACCTCCTCTTCAGGGGGTCTGGGTAAGCCTAAGGAAGTCTGTGTTCCTCTCCCTTCTCAGTCTAAGAAGATTTAGTAGAAGAGATGACACAATGCAGGGTCTACACCCCCAAAGCCTTTCAGATGAAGGTGTTTAGGTTTTGTGGTGGTCGTTGGCTTGCCCCCATCTCAGAAGGCCAATGCTATAGGAGAAGGGGGCTACTAATTTGCTAACTTGAGCATCACGTGCCTCATGGGCCAACGAGACTTGTTTGGCACTGAGTATGAATAACACCAACTCATTTATGGTGGTGATGGGGAGAAAGTGCATTTTAGTCAACTTTTTCATTGCTGTGACTAAAAACCAGACAAGAACAATGTAGAGAAGGAAAAGTTTATTTTGGCTCATGGTTTCAGAGTCTCAGTCCATAGATTGTCAACTCAGTAGCTCTGGGCCCAAGGTAAGGCAGAACAATGTGGCAGAAGGGAATGGTGCAAGAAAGCAGCTCAGGACATGGCAACAAGAAACAGAGAGATCCCCTCACCAGAGACAAAATATAGCCCCTAAAGGCATGGTCCTCCCATCGTACACCACCTACCTACCTACAGCTATCACCCAGTTAAGCACACACTCATCATTTTACCTGTGAAAATGATTGCATTATCTCACACATGAGCTCTTGGGGGACACCTCATATCTAAACCATAACAAGTTGTCAGGGAGCCTTCAACCCAGTGTGGAGCCTACACACCTGCATTCTGGCAATTTCCAGCACATTTCCAATCCTGAGGCTCCCACTTCCAGGGCATTTGGTCAATGTCCCAACCCAACCTCAGTTGGTTTAGAATGAAAGGAATATACTGGCTGGGGTGGAGTCAGAGTTCTCTCTATCAAGGTGAGATCTGCCCTTGGAAGAAATGGAGATGCCTCCCATGTGCATCTATTATCATCAGGTGTATGCTCCACACTTTCTAAAATTTTCTAGTTTTTTAGCAAGCTGAAGAAAACAAGAGAAAAGCATTGAGTCCTGTATTTCACAAGTCAGTAGAATATCAGTCAAATAGATGTAAAATAGAAAGAGCTGTTCAGGCCGAGGGTTGCCAAGGATATTACCAAGGACTTACTCAGTTCTAATCAGGTTTCACTACAATTAATCCTGACCACATGTCTGGGATTTAGACAGGTCCTAGGAATTCACTGTATTGAGTGCTCATGTGTAATACATAGTCCAAGACATCCCTGGGGATGTAAACAATGATGGCAGTCTAGAGCTAAGTCTTGGGGTCAGCTCAGGATGAACAGGGCCACAGAGAGCCTTACTTCATGGCTTATTTTCTCAGCACTATTCCAGGAAGTGGTTGGTATTTTGTAGTTCCCTATAAGAAACGATGAAAAGATTTCAAAATGTGGGATATCTGGACCTGCCAACCTCAACCTTTCAGCTCATCCACCAGTACTCCTCACTCTTTTTAAAGACAGGGAGGCTGATGGACTCTCTCTCTCCCTCTTTCTCAAGATGTATCTTTCCTATAGCAGCATTGAAATCACTTTATGGGGCTCTGAGTGTTCAATGGTGTTATGGTTTAGATGTGGCGTTCCCCAAAAGAGACAATGCAAGAAGGTTTGGAGGAGAAATGATTGGGCGATAGCCTTAACCTAGCCAGTAAACTAATCCCTAATGGGATTAACTGAGTGGTAACTGGAGTCAAGTGGGGTGTGGCTAGAGGAAGTAGTTCATTGTGGCTTTAGGTATGTATTTTGTATCTGGAGAGTGGAGTCTCTCTCCTTCTGCTTATGGATCACATGTGAGCTGCTTCTCTCTGCCACACTCTTCAGCCATGATGTCCTGCCTCACCTCAAGCCTCGAGGAATAGAGCCAGCCTTGTATGAACTAAGACCTCTGAAACTGTGAGCCCTCAAATAAACTTTTCCTCTTCTACAATTGTGCTGGTGAGGCCCTTTAGTCATAGCAGCAAAAAAGCTGATTAAAACCAAATGACCCCAAACAGGATCAAGCACTACAGTCTTGGAGATGGGGGATGAGGCTGTCATATTGTACATATGACAGTTTCCTTTGCTTTTCTTTAGGAAAGGGACATTCTTAGAGTAGGGGGAGTTAGGAGTTATAAGCAAAGTTGTAGGAAACCAAGTTCATGGCTCAGCAAGAACTTTCTGTCCAGCCTTAAAAACAGATGCAAAATAGCTTACATCTCTGTCCGATAGCAGAACAGCAGTCAAGTTCTTTCCTGAACGATGCATGGATAGCATTGCTGCTCAGGAAAAAACAGAAGTGAAATTCATCTTGGCTGCCTTTTCACCATGATCTTCTCTTGGGATGCTTTTGGCTGATCAGAGGCCCAATATATGTGCATAGTGGTCACCAAGGAAACCCCAATATATGTGAGGACGGTGGTTTGAAGTGTGGATTCCAGGGCAGGGAGTGTCTTGACGAGATAGAGTTTGAGCCACATGGTTTAAGCCTCTGTCTGTAGAGGTTGGTTGGATGGACTAAGGAAGTAGGAAGCTTCTGTAGGAAATCAACCGAGGGACAGTGAACCTGGGAGTGAGCATGGGAGAAGTGAACAATGGGACCTACTCCCAGCCCAACTGCCCTCCAAGGGGCCTGCCATCCCCACCAAAGGTCTCTTGATGTCTTTCACTGCCTTCTGCTTTAACCCTGGGGTGGGGCAGGTCTGTGTAACTTCAAGAGCACAAGCCTGCTCTGTTGGAGTCCAGGACCTGAAGGTGCTAGGGAGCCTAGAACTTTCCCAGGTCATATAGAGACTTCTTTCCCATCAGCCCCAACACTCACCTCAGAGAAAACACCAGACTCTGTTGTCTTTCTCTTATGTTATGAATATTTATTTTCTTCTTAAAAATGTACAAAAAATAAAATAACTGTATTTATAGTTTATAGATTCCCCCTCTCCCATTTACAAAACTATTAAGTTACATTTACCTTTTTTTTTTTTTAACATTGGAGCATATTGTACATATGACAGTCTCCCTTGCTTGTCTTTAAGAAAGGGCCATTCTTAGAATTTGGCACAAACCCTCTATTTTGGTTGCATTTTCATGATTTTAAATAAAAAGAAAAATAAACATTTGATTCATTTCACACTTCCCAAGGTTCTGGACTGGGATATGCCTTAGTCTTTCAGGAACCAATTCTAAGATGACATCTGATTTCATTTTTCTGTTGGTTCCAATTTCCAAACACAGGTAAATTCTAAACAATTTGGGATGTATAAGAAAAATACTTGTTTCACATGTCCTCATCTTTCATGAATTACAAAAAAAAGAAGAAGAAGAAGCTTATTTATTTGGGTATGATCAAGGGAACAAGAAAGAAGAGGAGGCATGTTTTCCTATCTTTCTGGAGTGTTTTTTTTTTTTGCCTCGGGAAATGTGCTCATCAAAGCTCTGCTAACTTACAGTGAAACTCACAAGTTAGCTGACCACCAGTCACTCTGAGAATGCAGAAGGGGATGGTTGGATGGGACCTGACACTCTGTACCACCCTTTGGTGGCCCTGGCCTCATATCCTTTGTCCTGGCAATGGTCACCATAGTGACTGCTCAGGGACTTTAGACAAATACAAAGGCATTTCTGATTTATTTTCTGTCTAGGATGAGACCAGTAAACAGGGGCGGAGAGAGAGGGGTCTGTAGCCTGTGTCATGTGGCACAAAGTTTGCCTTTTCCCTATTCTGGAGTCCTATGTCCCAGCCATCAGGCCTGCCAATCATGCTTGAAACTTTTTCTAACCCAAGGAGCATGGGAAGTGCATAGTACGTTGTGTATTTCCAATGCTGAATCTGTCCATCAGAACAGAGGCCCATTAGTACCCAGGATGGTCCTCATGCTGCAGGTCCAGGGTGTGGAAGTTGGAGTGTAGGATGAGGGGACAGAATGGAGCGGAGCTGAACCCAGCATGCACACCTTTGGCACCACTGGAATGGGTAACATGTCCGGGAGACACAAAAAAGTGCCCCCTGACCACCCCTGGAAGTTTGCTCTCCATTCCATTCAATTCCTCTGAGCCCCAAGAGGCAATAACTGGGCTACAGTAAGCTCTCCCTCCTGCTCTGGGCCTCAGAGACAGAAGAGGGGAAAGGGCAGGATCACTGAGCATGGGACCTCCAGGTAAGACATCAAAGTGCTTTACAAACAAATCTGGACCTTTAGGCGGAGTCTGTCCTATATCGGGTATTGGGTGTGGCTACAAAATCTAGTGCTTCAGCCCACAAACCCATATACCCCTACCCGTTCCCTCTAAGAGAACAGTGGCCCACTCAACGCATCCTTTTCTGATGTTCAAGTGTTTTCCTTTTCTTCACCTCCTCATTCCTCCTCCTCTCTCCCAGTATCCTCCTAAGCCTGGCATCAGAAGAGTTGAGGCTCATGGGGCTTTCTTGTTCACTCACTCAGTTTGTTAAAACCCAGCACCCAGGAGCAAAGGCAGACAATCCCCCCTTTCCCAGTCTTTAGCCACAGGAGGAAGCCTGGGCCTGCAATTCAGAGCTGAGCTGTTGGCACGACTCTCAGCACTGCAGTTGGGCTTTTAAAGGGGCCACTTGAGATGAAGGACATGCTTGTAAACTATGAGGCACTACACAATGTCCAAGAGTCTTATGATGGCCAAGGAGCTTTGCAACAGCTCCAGTGACGGGGCCCTACGCAAACCCCTGCATAGTCTCTCCACAAAGCTCAGGCTGTGCCTGTAACAAAACCAGAGAAGAAGGTAGGGCCTCTTCTCTAAGGTCTTTCCTACAAGAGAGTTCAAAGGAAGAGTCCAGAACAGCATATCAGCAGGAGACAAACACCACGGCCTTGAGGGAAAGTCATGCCCACTGATGGGGCCCTCCCTCTGGGGATGGGAAACAAGTCTCCCCCAGACCAGCCCAGTGGAATGTCCATCTTGGTACCTGGCAGAGTCACCAAACACCTCAAAGGCCACTTTCCTGGCCTGGCATGCATCCTGAAGAGGTGCAGAGTCGGAAATCTCTGAGTCTCTGGGTATGTGCCTCCCCTAGGCCAGTGGCATTAAACACGCCCACAAACCACAAGTAAAATATATTATTGCAATATTATAAACAATATATACATGACCATCTGGCATACTGTCTGTGTTCCTTCCCCCCTACACGGTAGCTGAATGTCCTCTTGTATAAGGCCCAGTGGCCACTTGCTGGGATCCCCCAGAGGTATTTAGCAAGGTGACCTTACCCAGAGCAACCTAAAGGTTTCTAACCAGGAAGAAGGCAGCCACCTCTTACCCCACCTGTGACTACTGCACCAAGAAGAGCTCACTTTGTCCAGCCACTCCAGAGATGTAGAGGAGAGAAGGAAAGAGCAAGGGTTTTTCAGGCTCTTTGGGATGAGTGGTTGTGTTTCTCTTGACAGGGGACTCTGGACGGTCTCATGTGGAGCCCGCAGTAACCTGCAGAGTCCCAGGGGGCCTGGACTCCAGGCTCTGGAAAATGGTGGGTAATAAATAAGGACCCACAGGCCCAAGGCAACTTCCTGAGGGGCTCAGGCTTCAACCACACAGGTGAGCTGGTGGATGGGTACAGCACACTACCATCAGTGGCGCCTTCGGCCTGGCCTGCTTCCCAGCACAGTCTTGTAACAGCAGTTATGAGATGGGTGAGATGGGTCTCCAGGTTTGGAGGCAGCAGGGGGACCCCATCTCTCCCAGAGAGGAACATGCTGAGAGCTCCTGCCAAGGGGACGCTGAGCCAGGGACTCAGATTTCCATGAGCGTGATCTTGAAGCCTTCCACCATGCTCTCCATGTTGAGGATGAAGGTGTCCTCGTTGGAGTAGTGCTCGATGATGTTGTCATCCATATTTACCAAGATGCTGCCAAGGTGTGGGGGGTGGGGTAGAGAACAAAGATACTGTGAACAGCAGGCTCAGTATAAGGGCAAGCTGCAGGGGGTGGGGAGGGGTGCTCTCTCAGCCTTTCTTTTGCAAAGGAGGCTGAGAGGAGAGGTAGAGAGAGGAGATCAGGCCAGGAAAGGCCCTCATTTTCTTTTGTTTTCCCAAAACCCAGTTCGAGGAAAGCAAAACCTCAGTGTCTCAGAACTACCCTTATGGCTCTTTATTAACCAGGATTTAAGAGAATGTTCCGTCCAATTCAGTCCAACTCTTGTGCTTTATAGATTACTAAAGTCAGGCTCAGTGAAGTTAGCAGAGCCAGAAATCACAGTTAGCTAAATAGGGAGGCCTCCTGTCTATTTTCATTAAGCCATGTGGCCTCTGCTCTTATCAGGGAAAGCAGAATACACAGAATTGCAGCTGCCTTTTGTTGAATACATAATATGTGTTTGTGTATCAGAGACCTTGTATTTAATCCTCATGGTAACCTTGAAGGTAGGTTTTCTGATCAGCACTTGCAAATGAGAAATGGGGCTGAGAAAGGTGAAACCACTTCCCCAGGTTCATCCCCCTTGTGTTTTGAAACTTATTTCGCCTCACTCAGAAGCTCTTACTTCACCTCCTGTGACCTATTCCTTGGCTAGCTACCCCTGGTGGATTTAGTTCTAAGAAAACAACTTCCAGAGTCTATCCACGGTTTAGAAGTCCTTAAGTCAGTCTCATTTTTGGAAGTCTGACAGATCTTACTTGGAGAACGAACCGTGGACTTTATCATTTTGCAGCTAGGTGTCATCACACAAGCTGTTTAGACTTTTAGAATCACAATTATTCTTTTGCAAAACTAAGAACCATCCAGCTATAGAGGGTTGTTGGGGGACTACAAGCATTTATCTATCACAGGGCTAGAAGCACATTCATTGTTACTATGGGCAGCACACGCGTCTGCACTGAGGATTTCTGCTCAGCATTAGGACTTTGAGACACCACTCAAAGGAATACACCCAGTCTACTGCATTAACCTTGGACAGAATTGTAACGTGCACTTTTGTGAGCTTTCCAATGAAAGTTCAAGTTGAAGGGTTTCCTGCTTGACCTCCAATAAGCCAGAGGTTCTATCACTCAGAAAGCCTGAGAATCCCACATTATCCATTTCCTTTATGAAAAAAGCCCAGAGAAGAATTTAAAGACCTACTTCCTGCTTTTGTAGGAAAATAGCTGCTGCAGGAATAGTCAATGGAGACACTCTCCTGGGATTAAATGCTGTGGTTGCTACTCTTAAAACCTCAAAAAGAAGAAGCCTCAGGAGGACTCAAAAGTAGATAGCAGAACGCTGGTGCTAATAAATGCACTTGAACTTTGAGCCACAGAGTGAGGAGTACATAGAGGAATGCAATGTAAAGCACTTAGCAGAGGACCTAGAACCTACTGCACATCCAATAATAACACCAAGAACAAGCAGATCCAAGGATCCTTTGAGAACATTTTGTTAATAATCACCTTGGAAAATTTCCCTCTGTCCACTTTTTGTTCCCACCATGCCACCCTGAAACCAACCTCAAGAGCCACATGTGACTTCCTGTGAATCCACTCTTCTCAGAGGGATGACTTTGCCATTCTCCCCCGTGTCCTCGCCATCTCCAGACCCCTCTAGTCCACCTGCTAATCCTGCCATTGGAATAGGGCATCTCAGCTACCATCATGACCATGTGATCTCGCAGGCTGCTCTGCCGTCCTCTAGAAGGACCACACCAGTTTTATAAAGATAGATGGCAGGTAACAAAAGACAGGAACCATTTTAAAAAATGCATCCTGCAGATATGTCTGATGTGAAAGTCAATTTAAGTTCAGTTTGTTTCTTACCCTTTTTTGCTTTTCTTGTACAGCTTTGCTATCTTCTCCACAGGCAGCCCGTACTTCTCAGAGATCTGCAACACCAATAACAAGAAGGCAGGTGAAGGGGAGCCCGAGCTGGGGCAAGGGAGAAGGTTCCAATTTCCCTCTCTTGGGCATTTTCCTGAGAACAGTCTTGACTCATGAGTTAAAGTCTCAAAACACTCACTTTGTACAGACCTTAATAATTTGACAAAAGATTTGGCCACTTAGGGTTTCAGTCTATGATAGAAGGTGGTATTTCAGATCAGTCAGGTAAAGATGGGTATCCAGTCATGATACTGGATTAGGTAGGTGGCCCATATAGAAAAAAAAAATTAACAAGTTAACTTGGACCTCTTCTCTACTCCTTATATTAAAATAAATTTCAGGTGGATCAAATAATTATATGTGAAACACAAAACTATAAAAACACAAGAAGAAACCAGGAGTAAATTCTTCATGTAACTATCATCTTAAAGTAAAGAAGATCTAAATGAGACTGAAACCTGGTGGGAAAAAAAATGTTAAAAGGTTAAACAACAACAGAATTTTAAATACCTGTATATACAAACCACCATAAAAAAAACTGGCAATGATAGATACAGAGCTAACTTTAAGTTAAAAAGAGCTGCAAATCAAGAAAAAAATAAACTAACAATTGAATGGGGGAAAAAAAGGGGGAACAACTTGGGAAAGCAATTCACAGAAGGAAAATATACCCAGACAATAAACATATGAAAAAATGCAACACTTCCCTCACAATTTACAATTAAAGCAATAGTAGGATACTACTTTTAATTTATCAGACTAACAGAAACAAAAAAAACAATAGTAATACAAGTATCAGTCACAGTATGAGAAATGACGGCTCTTGTATTCCATAGAAAGAAGAGGAATAAGTTCAACCTTTTGGGAAAAAAAATATGGCAGAAACTATCAAAATTTAAAATGCATATATCCTTTGACTCATATCTGCCATATATAGTAATCTAATCTACAGAAATACATGCATAAGTATGCAAAGATTTTCAAAAACTCAATGTTTATAATGAAGAAAACTATATATAACAAACATTCATTAAACATTTTGATATTTGCACAATTGAAAACTGTGCAGTCAATTAAAAAAACATGGGAAGCCTATAGGTTTTCACATTTTTAAAAATATCTATAACATATTAATTGAGGGATAAACAAGTTGTGAAACAGTGTATATTGGATGATTTTGTTTGTATTTTAAAAGATATATATATAGAGAGAGGGAGATTTAGATATAGATTTATTATTAAGGGACCCATCAATCTTTTAACAGTGGCTACCATTGAAAAATGAACAGAAACAAGGAGAGTCTTCTGCTCTGTACTTTGTACAGTTCTGGCCTGTTTATTTTCACAGTCATTATGCCACTTCTATAAACATCAAGTACTAATTGAGAGATGGGTTCTGGGAAAACCAGTCTCAAATGCCTGCCGTGTTCCTTCTATTCTCCCAGGGGCCAGTGAGGCTCACAGGCAGTTGAGGCAGGTGAGCTTTGGGACTTGATTACTGAAAGTCTCCCAGAGTCTAGAAAAAGAGGATGGAGAGCTCTAGAAGAAAGTTGAGACTACTTTGGATCTTGGGAAGAGCTTATTTTGCCGAGAATCACAGGTTCCCATTCTTCTTTTCAGCCTGTAGAAAAACTCTCCACACCCCAATATGCTTAGAAGGAGCAGAACCACTGGGCTGAGGGCTAGGGGAGTGAAGAGAAGTGGATAATCAGCACTCCTGCCTGCCACACACCATTGATTTGTCACTGATGAGGTTCCCCAAAGCCCAAATGAGTCAAGTGTAAAGAAGAGCACATCTAAGTAGGCCCTGTATGCAGTAAAGAAATTTGACAAAACTTATATAGGAGGCATCCATTTGAATACAACAAACGACAAAAGAACACTTACAAAGAACACTTATGAAGCACATGAGCAAAATTTCAATCTACACATCAGATAGAGCCCTAATATCCAGAATGTACAAAGAACTCAAAAAATTAAACAATAAGATAACAAATAATCCAATCAACAAACGGGCCAAGGATCTGAACAGACATTTCTCAGAGGAGGACATACAATCAATCAACAAGTACATGAAAAAATGCTCACCATCATTAGCAATCAGAGAAATGCAAATCAAAACCACCCTAAGATACCATCTCACTCCAGTAAGATTGGCAGCCATTATGAA